TAAGATACTTCAGAAATAAGTGATCAATATTTAATTAAGACAGAATTTCTGTTTTTTTATAATAACGTTATCAGTATAGATTTAGGGCGTTTGGGTGTTGAGGTGAATTTGAAGGCCTATGAGGGTTGAAATAACAAGAGGATAAACTGTATAAGGTGGATATTAATTAGAATGAGATTGACAGGAATGTAGCATGCATGTGAGTGAAAAGAAATACATATAAAAAGTAAAAAAAGTAAAGCTATCCCTGTACCAGGCCATGAAGGCCCATAAGGTTGTGAGACGTTGAGGGTTCCACATTATCTAGACAATCGGTTCAAAGATGGCGGTAAGGTTGTCAGCCTTACGCGCCGGCCGCGCTTTACCCCTCAGGAAAATTATTTAATTCCTGGTACTCATATAGAATTTTGAAAAGAAAACATGAATAAAAGAGGCTTCTAAGGAGATGTGGTGTAGATGGGAGGATAATAACACGTAAAATAATCGAATGCGTTGAAGTAGCGCAAATATATTTATATATTTATCGGGGAGGATTTCATTTCCTATCTCGGCCCAACACCTCTCATTTTGATTGAGGTTTTTATTCTTTATCTTAGCCCATCTAGACAACTATTGGGATAGTGTCTCCAATAGGCAATGGCCGCTTCCTATCAAATAATTTCCAATTCTTCCATTATCGTACGATCTGGCACGATACAGTGTAACAGTGACCCAAAAAAGAGGGAAAAAAAATATTGAAACAAGTCTTAAAATGAAGCATGGAAAAGAAGGAAGTGGATTAATCCGGCTCTAGATAAGTAAATGTCGGCATCTTCAGAAAAACTTCGCTCTATTAAGTTGGTTGTGGCAATGACGTCAATATGAATCCGGAGGAAACACCTGTAAACTTCATACAAAATATTCTGTAGCATAAGAGGATAGCATAAACACAGGTCTAGCATAAGAACATAACGCGTTAACGGATAAAATGAAGTGCAGTAAACCCTCGTTAGGCCGCGTCATAGCTCAAGCGGTTAGTCGCTGGCTTCCCACCTCGGCGGCCCGGGTTCGATCCCAGGTCTGGTCAAGTGGGATTTGTGGTGGACAAAGTGGTGCTGGGGCAGGTTTTCTCCGAGTACTTCGGTTTCGCCTGCCAATCTTCATTCCACCAATTGCTCCACAGACACCCTCACCTATCATCTGGGGCTGGTACAATAGGCTAGAAATGGCCGCAATACAAGGGACTTAGTCCCACCCCACTAGCAATAAAGAAAAATCCTCGTTATAACAGAATAACGGGGGTGAGGGAGAGGGTGTCCGTTGTCACCGATGTCCTTTATAACAGGGTAAAGGTGTATACATGGAACTACACCTTAAAGTACATAGCCAATATATGCAATATGTTGTACATACTCGGGGGACGGGGTTACCAAAATTTCCTTTTATACGTGCAGATTTAGAATTATTAATTTTGCATTTAGAACTTATTTAACGACGTCATCATCAGTAACTCAGTCTCCACAGCGTTCGGTACTTGGATGACGGTCAGTAAATGATTGAAAAAAATACAGAAAGAGAAGATGTCGTAACATAACTAAATATATTCTCAATATTTTTTTCTGCGGAGGCACTGGGGAAGAACGCGGAATGTCTCAGTCAGTGCAATCTGTGTCTCGTCCAAGATTCAAACGTGAGACCTATCACATACAGGTTAGAAGCGTCACAGCTCTAGTCAAATGTCTCGGCAAGTCGATGAATGATTCGGATAGGAATTTTTAAATGTTCGTAAGAAGTTTGACTAGTTAAAACTTCAGAAAATGTAGTCAGAAAATATTCATGGCGCAGGTCAAATAGTCACAGTCTGACCTCGAAATGTACTACGACCTAGAGATAAGAAGAGCTTATAAAACGGTTTCTCTCTCTTCCAAATATCACTGAACCCAAAAGTTCAGTCCTTGTCTAATGAACATCAGAAACGCAGTAAGTAGGCCTGAAGACAGAAATAGCGACTTTCTTCCAAGCTCCTCAGCTAATTAAATTAACTAATCCGTTGAGCTGACTCCTCAAGGAGAATGAGGTGGGCAGGGCATGTAGCACGAATGTGGGCGAAAAGGAATAAATATAGGATATTGGTGGGAAAGCCAGAAGAAAAGAGACCACTGGGAAGACCCACGCGTAGGTGGGTGAACGATATTAAAATGGATCTTAGAGAGATAGAATGGGATGGGATGGATTGGATTGATCTGGCTCAGGATAGGGACCAGTGGAGGACTCTTGTGAACACGGTAATGAACTTTCGGGTTCCATAAAATGCTGGGAAATTCTTGAGTAGCTGTAGATTTGGCTTCTCCTCAAGAAGGGCTCAGCTCCATAAGTATGAATGAACGAATGTACAAGGGGTGGGCCTTCTTGGCCCTTGCACCGCGACCACAGTGATCTATTGTGCCTCCTCTTCTGACTATCCCCTCAGCAACCCTGCACTTCGAATGAAGCGCAGGATTTTGTACGTGAGGACGTCGAAATAATCACTTGGTTCCATAAAGTATTGACCCAAGTGACGTAACCTTAAATAAGCTAAGGCCTCACATTCACACAGGATATTTGTGGCTGTTTCGTTTTCTTCTTGGCACCTCTCACAAGTTGGACTGTCACTTAGTCCCAGTTTGAAGAGGTGTCCTTTGAGGTTACAGTGTCCTGTAAGTAGTCCTACCATCAATCGTAGCTGGTTCCTGTTTAACTTCAACAGTTCCTTCGCTCTTTTGGTAGAAGGTCCTCGTAGGAGTCCCTTTGCTTGCCTGAGTCTAGTTTAGGATCCCCAGTATAGCTCAATAAGTAAGTATGTATAGAGCTGACTCGCTCTTGAGAAGTTAATAGCAGCCCAATTACTGAAGGTAATACCATCACTTTACGAAACAGGAAGGTACATTACCGTGTTAACGAAAGATAATGACAGATCTTTGTCCAATCCACACACCTATTCTATTTCTCCAAAACACGTTTTAATATTATTATCTAATCTACGTATAAGTTTTCAAAATTAATCCTTTTCTTAAGGTTTTCATTCCAAAAGTTTGTATGCTGCAAACCGAAAAGTAGGGGGTTCGATTCCCGATGAGTTAATTGGCTTTTTCGATTTACCTAATCCTTCCAGTCGCACAATGGCCATGGGGTCGAGTCAGCTTCTAACAGAAATGAGTACCAGGAATTTTCCGGGGGGGTAAAGGGCGGCCGGCGCGTAAGGCTGACAACCTTACGGCCATATGTGAGCTGATTGTCTAGAAAATGTGGGATCCTTTACGTCTCACAACCCTATGGGCCTCCAAGTACTGTTACAGGGACAGCTTTACCTGTTTTTATTACATGGGTATATAACCATTTTATTCTTCTGAACAAAATTTATCCGAAATATTTTTGACTCTGATAAACGTTTGAGGAATTCCCGAAAATCCCACGTAGATCTTAACAAAAATTTTCATTATTCCCATCACTCTTTGAACAAAGTGGGAATGTTGAAACAACTTTTAATCCAACTCCCTAATATCAGAATAGAATCAATTTTTTTTCGAACTTGAAATTCTCACAGCGGTGGTTATAAAGAGCACTATCTTCTGAGAGACAACACCGTGTAGTCTGTTGAAAGTAAACAGACGTTTCGGGGAACATATTGCCTCCATCTTCAGGGTCGAATAAGTCGAATGAATACCAGCGTGAAAGCAGGTGGCAAATCGTTGACTTTGAACGGACTACACGGCATTACACCCCAGAAGATAATAATCTTCACATCAAAATATGTTGGGCCTTATGAAGTTACGAATATTTCATTTTACGAGAGGGCAGATGTCAAGACGAGGGTTCCGCAGGATTGTGAAGAAGCATGTAAAGTAGCAAGAAAGCTATCGGTATAACGATAAACAATCACGCAAACAGCCATCTCCCGAAACGTCGAGTATATTGTTATACTTTGATTATTAGTTCCTTCAAGATGCTTTCAACAGCACGTAGTCTCCTGGCAGAATAATCGCCACTAAGTTATCTACTAAAGAATGCATGTATAGGTATACAACTTTTTCGAATGTCCGTCCGTCTAATTATCCATCTTATCCTGCTTCTCTCAAAGGCGCTTCGTAGAAAAAGATAGTATGTGTAGGCTCACTCACTCACTCAGTCACTCATGGAGCTGAGCCCTTCTTGAGAAGCCGCCACTTGTGCAGCTATTAAAGGACTTCCCAGCATTTTACGGAACCCGAAGCTTTGTTACCGTGCTCATAGAAGCTGGTCCCTATTCTGAGCCAGATCAATCCAATCCATACCATCCCGTGCTATTTTTCTAAGATGCGTTTTGATATTATCCACGCACCTACGCCTTGGTCTTCCTAGTGGTATGCGTAGACATAGATACAAACTATTTTTTTGGTTGAATAGCACCAGGAAAATTTTTACTTTTTTTTTACAAAACAGGTTACACACCAAAAATACGTACTTCAGTCTGTCGTCCAGGTTATACGTAGTAGATAAAGGTGAAAAAGGTAAAGGTATCCCTGTAACAGGCCTTGGAGGCCTATGAGGTTGTGAGACGTCGAGGCTGCCATATGTTCTAGACAATCGGCTCACAGATGGCGGTGATGTTGTCAGCCCTACGCGCCGGTCGCCCTTTACGCCCCAGAAAGATACCTGGTACTCATTTCTGTTAGAGGTTGAGTCGACCACAGGGTCCATAGTGCGGCTGGAAGGATTAGGTAAATTGAAAAATCAAATAACAACATAGGGTATCGAACTAGCGACCTTCTGGCTTGTAGCATGTGATAATATATATAGAAAGCTCTCCTCTTGGTGAGATACGTATATTCAGAAAAGAACTGCCTTTCTTATATTTCACATAACGTTTCATTTTAACATGAAATACACAGATGTTAGTTCTAGATTCTTTGGGAACTTCCCTTGCTGTGTCTTACACCGGCACATGCCAGTCCTACCGAAGCCGCTGAGAACATCCGGTGAAAAGTAGAAAATTTGAACTAGAATACAATGCAAAGCACTCTACTTTTTTTATTTAAAATTACTTACTTTGCGTGCTCAAGTAGCCATACACATACGTACTTCTGCTGTGTGTATGCGAGAATCCAAAGAATGGGCATTTGGTGAAGAAATACAATTTATTTGTATGGTCTGTCCTATAAGGATTGTGTTCTGAAGGTCACAGAAGTGATTTGTATATCTAGTGAATTAAATATAAGCATCTAACACGAACAAAAAGAATAGACTCTGAAACAGCACTGCAGATCTCTCTGGATGGAAACATCAACTGAAACAAACATTCGTGTTACTTCTAACTATTGCCCATAAAGTCTCACTGGAATTGCTACGGTCAGTTTCTTGTTCCTACTCAAGCATTCTTCGTTTTCACCTCCTTCTTAGGAGTCGTGCAGTTGAATGAGCATCGTGAAATATCTATAAGAAGCATTCACCAACTGAAACAGAGATTAGGAACGTTTTAAATACATCTACACTGCAGGAGTACGTAGAAGTGTCCTCGTTGGAGTGCAGTGAAACGAATACAAGCACGTGCCCTTTTATGACTTTATATGTTTGGATTTGCACTGTATGTACCTTGTTTACTGTATGTACTTTGTTTTGTATTGTTCCCTTTATGTTGTAGTGCTTCCTTGTCTGTATCAGTGTAAGATCTGCTGCCACCGGGTGAATACCCAATTGCAGTATAATAATAACAACAACACACATAAGAACATGTGGCTAAAGTTACGTGTATCATTCAAGTTGTATGTTGGCGAAGGTAAAGCTTTCCTGTGCTTAATTAAGCACAACTTTTGTGAAGATGTATGGGGGAGTTGAGGTACAGCACCCTAGATTCATAAAATTGGCACTATGTGTACGGAAGACTTCAAACTCACGCTCCGGCCGCTTTATCTATAGCGAAAGACGTGCCAGTACCCACAAAATAAGTGGCTACATGAGACCCAGAGTCGATGTGGAAGTTGTGAAGAAAAGGAAAAAAACTATCTCTGCCGAGAATCGAGGTTCTTGTGTCATTCGGGCTGTAACCTATGCATAACATCGACTGAACTATCTTAGCTCCTCCATAGTATAGTTTCAAAGATGGATTACTTAGAATTTTATTTTTTCTAGACGTTTCAAATTATTTTCTGAACGAACACTGCCCAAATGCGCAGATGGATGCGCAGTATTCCGATACGCCAATACTAACCTAACCTCTAAACGAATTAACTTAAAATCTAATAAATTATAAATACAGTTAATTTTCTCACCGAGTAACTAGCCAAGCGCCGAGTCGGAAATGAATCCCCCAGATTAAAGGCCAAGGATATAATAATGTACTGCCCGGTGAGAAATATTACATATAACTCAGTAAGCAGAGATAGATTAGTGTGAAGCAAGAATGAAATGATGATAGGTTAGTTATAACTAAAGGAAATCCAATGGAACTTTGTCCATCATAGACCTTACAGTAACTCACCCAGGATCCAGCACAAGGCTCCACTGTGACAATCCAGCGACTAACGTAAAGAGCTTTAGGAAAATCTCACAAGAATTTTCAGCACAATTTATTTGTTTTTGTGGTAACCATCATTGATCTTACAGTTCATCTCAAGAGAACTGTGTTCTGGGATATTGAACCATGTATTATGACAGAAAGTTACCGTTGTTTTGGAGGAACATATTTCTTCCTTCTTTACTGCCAAGTAAGCAAAACCGCACGGATACCAGGGCTCGCTCAGTTTATTCCGCATCCCGGAAGAGGATGCCGATAGATTTTTCACTGAGAGTCTGTATATGGACTTTTATTAAACCACACGGTGTAACACTCTAAAATATCGTAAACTTCATAGCCACGGTTGCTTGAAACTCAAGGTCTCGCTATTTATAAGATATAAAAAGAATTGTAATTTTAAAAAATCGAAAAAAAGTCTGTAGTTCTAAAGTAAATTGAAAGAAAACATAACCTCACTAATTGAATACATTTCATCAAGTGTGTCTTAATTTAGATTTACGAATTTAGTGCTATACAGTTACGTTCTTCCGCAAAGAATGCCACTTACAGAAGAGAAAGTCAGTAAAGACATGTCAAAGAAAACTCCAGCCCTCACGGTCACCGGTCTTGAGGCCCTCATGATGGCCAGAGGCAGCAGACTTTTGTATCCCGCTGTCTGGCTGTACCATTCAGTGCTATAGAACGCCAGCTGCACCTTCTCACTCTGAAAACAGTTGCAATATTAATTTATATTCTCATATAGTTATTTGAATTAAGTTAACTGACAGATATCGAGTAGTCCATAATTCATGGTTCTGAAATAAATTCCTTCAATTAATAATGTTATATTTCAGTATCCCGTCGGCCTGCATAAATCTGACTTAAGAGCTTTGTGCCGTCTAAGTGCAACGTCATTTACTGTATCTTTATTGGACACCATTTCACTAAATTTTCCGGCTTAAGTGGTCATCTTCAGGTGTACAGGTTAAGGATTCTGCTGCTCGCTGTAACGCGGTACAACTGTGCACCTGAAGTTGGCCATTTAAGCCGGAAAATTGAGTGACATGGTGTCCAATAAAGAGACAGTAAACGACGTTGCACTTAAACGGAGATAAAACTCCTAAGTCAGATTCTTCAGTTTAGCTGCTAACAACGAAAAGTAGTCTCAAAGTAGAGCGCTCTCCTTGCACAATCCTGCAGACGACCAAGGACGCTTCAGAGGCTTTTGTTGCTTATATCCTGAGGATACCGAAGATATACCAAACAGACAAAGAACAAGAACGAATCGGAAACACGATCTCTCTCCGCTGTTCTTTTATTCTCTCTGATTCTCTCTCTGCTTCTTCAACTTTAAACACGGAAATTTACTTTCCTCCGTAACCTCTGTAAACTTCTGCCGGAGCGCTCTGCTTTACATTGTCACTTCCCCAGAACCACTTCAGCGGATAGAGGGTGTCGCGTGGTCAGCGCAATGGATCACCACGGCCGTTAATTTCGGTTTCCTAGACCGGAGCCGCTACTTTTCCATTCAAATATCCTCACGAGGCTGAGTGGACCCCGTTCCAGACCCACTACTTCTCAGAAAATCTGGTAGCGCCTGGAATCGAACCCGGGATCTCTAGCCAGGAACTCTGACCACACTAATTTCACCGACAAGTGGCGGTCGGTATAGTTCGCTTGCGGACTACAGGACACGGAGTTTGTTTTTCTCCAAAAACACACCCCTTTGCTTACCTCAAATATCACATGCTATTACCCTATTAGCTGCAAACGGCAGTGTGGTGAGCGCTAGGTTGTGTGTGCGGACAGGTGGAGAACTAATGTTCCTGCACAAACCTCGTCAATTACTTGCTGTCCAAACCAGGCGTATGCACCTACTAAGAACAGTGACGCAGCGAACAGAGAGGTGAAAGCGAGGAATTGCTCGTAATCAGAAACATTCTGTAACACAGAACATCACTGTGAGATACATGCAATGAATGATGCTAGCATGAAGCCAGCGAGAAGGGGTAACTCAGTGATTAGGCTACAGGCTTGCAGATCGGGGTCTCTGGGTTTGAGTTTTTTTTTATTGCCAGTGGGGTGGGACTATGTCCCTTGTACTGCGGCCACTTCTGGCCTATTATACCATCCCCAGATCATAGGTGAGGGTGATTGTGGAGCAATTGGTGGAATGAAGATTGGCAGGGGAAACCGAAGTACTCGGAGAGAACCTGCCCCAGCGCCACTTTGTCCACCACAGATTCCACTTGATCGGACCCGGGATCGAACCCAGGCCGTCGCGGTAGGATGCCAGCGACTTACTTCAGGGACGGACATTTTAAGACTTTCAGAGCTTGCAGATCGACTCTGTGGCTCATCCTTTCATAATATTAAAAAGGTAAAACTATTCATGTAACATGCCATGGAGGCCTATACGGATATGAGACGTCGAGGCTCCCATATTTTCTATGTAATCGGCTCACAGATGGCGGTGAGGTTGTCAGCCTTACGCGCCGGTCATCCTTTACCCCCAGGAAGATTTCTGGTACTCATTTCTGTTAGATGCTGAGTCGATCCAAAGGCCATAGTGAGTCTGTAAGAATTACATCAATCGAAAAATACAAGTACCTCATCTGATATCTAACCCTGGACATTCCGGCTTGTAGCATAGTGCGTCAACCAACTTTGCTACCGTGCGCCTCCATATCCTGTATTAATCAAAACAATATCCCCTCGGGTAAAGCGGTAGAGAACGCGAAGCTGATCACGCATCTACATCCAATACCAAGACTAAGAATGTGTGGAGGTGTAATTTCTTTTCCTCCATAATTTTTCACCGAGCACAATGGATTTTACATCAATATAAATTAAGTTTTAATTATATATTTCTTATTATCTATAGAGTGAGGTAGGTAGAGATACCCTGCAGACCATTAGAAGAGCCCGAACGAATGACCACCACGTATGAAAAGGAAATTATTACGATGTAACCTGATGAATTCATTCTTACATCCCTCGTTGCAGAGAACGACAGTTACAAGGTTCTGAGGTCCTCGAAACAGAGTCAGCCTCTATTCGAACCAGCTGCATCCTTGCTTGTGGTCATCATGCCATGCAGTTCTTGTATGTACTCGTATATACATATGAATATTTCTGCACGTGACAGATATTATTATATAATATATGCACTGCAACAAATTGAAATATACAAAACTATAATTTTGCCTGTGGTTTTGTATGTACGTAAAACTTGGTCTTTGCCATTAAGGAACATAGACTGAGGGTGTTTGATAACTGGGTAAAGGTAAAGATGTTCCTGTGCTTAACTAATTAAGCACTACGCCTAAAAGGCATATGGGGGAGTGGATGTATAAATCCACATTCTCTTGACCTTGGTACTAGTTGAAAGTGAGTGGTCAGGTTCACCCTCCGGTTGAGAACAGGGTGTTGAGGAGAGATGAAGTGACGGGAGGTTGGAGAAAACTGCATAATGAGGAGCTTCATAAATTGTACTCTTCGCCAAGTAAAATTAGAATGATCAAGTCAAGGAAGATGAGATTGGCAGGGAATGTAGCATGAATAGAAAAGGAAAAGGAATGCATACAGGATAATGTTTGGAAAGCCAGAAGGAAACACACCATTAGGAAGACCAAGACGTGGGTGGGTGGATAATATTAAAATGGAGCTTAGGAACATAGGATAGAGCGCTACGGACAGAATTAATCTGGTTCAGGATAGGGACCAGTGGAGGGCTCTTCTGTATATGGTAATGAATCTTCAGGTTCTGTAAAATACTTGGAAGTTCTTGAGTAGCTGCACAATTGGCGGCTTCTCAAGAAGGGCTCGGCTCCATGAAGTTAGTTAGTTAGCCCAGCCTCTTCATCGACTAAGCTATCAAGGCTTCTACACCGCACTTTACGTGCGCTACGTACAGATTTACCTGCACCATCTGGAATCCTGTCATGCACAGCAGGAGGGGGAAGTTGAGCACCTTCAGGAAAGTAGCTAAACTCACGATCTTGTTGAGATGGTCGACGAACCTGCAAGTTGGGTTTATCGTTACAGCATTAAGTACCAGCCTATATGGATCGTAATGGATTAATATTTTCTAATTGAAAATTAATGTACTCTTAAATACTGCAACATAATAATCAAAAATAAGAGTGAAATGGAACATAAGTGACATTCACAGGAGGAAACACATTTACACAGAATATGTTAATCTCAAAATGTAAAGGAAAGTAGCTATTTCCTTAACTTCGACATGCGCAGGAGGACGACATGAGGCTGGAAGAACGTGAGCGGTGTATGATTGTTTCAGGACCCTGTATATTGCCTGGTGAAGACATTTACACGCTGTCTGTAAATCCCTTTACCACAAATTTGCACGTCAGTAAAAGCCACAAAACGGCTCTCAAACGTTTGATGAGGGGAGATATCCAGTCTCAATTTATTTGTGTTTATTCTTCCTTTTTAATATTATCTTAAAACGCTCTTTATTCCTCTGATGTATACCGTCCAATGACGGCACGTTTGCTGGTTAACTAACTTTTATAGTATGCATCTTGTGTGTCATACGAGAGATGTGTAATGCGAGAGTGTACACAGTAGTTCTGAAAGAGACAAAATGGCCACTACTGATAGCATAAAAATCCATACAAACACAATATGAATTCATGTTGCTTAATAACGCAAGCAACAGTATTCTCGTACGCCTGAAGATGAACAAAAAAAGGGTCGAAACACGTAGTGTTACCACCAACAGCTAATAAACAGATGTTGACACAGTAATGTCTGTCTCTTTCAGAACCACTGTGTAGACTGTCCTATTATATTAGTATAGCTTTCGTAACTGACTGAACTAGTCCCATGGAACTGAGCCCTTCTTGAGAAGCCGTCAGTTGTGAATCTATTCAAGAACTTTCCGGCATTTTATGAAACCCGAAGGCTGTTACAGCGTTCACAAGAGCCATCCACTGGTCTCTATCCTAAGCCAGATCAATCCTGTCCACACCACCCCACCGTACTTATCGAAGATATATTTTAATATTATCCACCACCCTACTTCATGTTCTCCCTAGTTGTCTCTTCTATTCTGGCTTTCCCATCAATATCCTATATACATTCCTCTTCGACCCATTCATGCTACATGCCCTGCCTATCTCACCCTCTTGACTTGATCATTCTAATTATACTTGGAGAAGAGTACAAGTTATGAAGCTCCTCATTATGCAGTTTTCTCCAAACTCCTGTCACTTCATCTCTCTTCGGTCCAAATATTCCCCTCAACATCCTCAGCCTATGTTCCTCCCTTAATGTCAGAGACCAAGTTTCACACCCATTCGTAACTGCTGGCTAACAAATTAGAAAAATGTGCAAGAAAGTAGTGATGGCATGAATGTTACGCCACATTATTACTGGAAGAACTGAGGAAAACCTGGAAGATCTTAATTAAGCCTAGCCAGTCTCTGGGCACAACCTACAAACTGAATAAGAAGCAATGACAGCGACATTTGATTTGAAACCAATAAATATAAAAATAATTTGAGGTTTTATTTTATTTTTTTTGGTCTTTGAGGTAGTCCGAATTGTACTCTGTCAATATGCGTTTAAAATCGGGAAAGTGGTAACTTACTCGATGATAGCTTGGTGATATCTGATGCATTCAGCAAGGTACAGCTGGAATGGATCTTCGCCTCCTGGGAGCGCCGTCTCGCACCTGGGGCTTCCAGAATCCTTCTCAAATCCGCGCCGATATTCGTTAGGAATATTGTCATGTGCTGATGTTACTGCTTCCTTCTCAGAACTGTCGTCTGCACTAAAGTGCAAAGGAGACTTGTGCTTTGTTCTGTTCAACTCCACTTCAGAGGCATTCTCATGCATGTCATTCAGCATTGCACATAAAACCTTGAATTGAGCAGCTGCATGACTCATCAGAGACACAAACATTGTATCAACGGAAAATATCTGTACTAGTGGAAGAGTTATAATAATAAATTGCAAGGCAGTGATTATTTCATACCGAGGCGAACTTTTAATATCAAAAGGGACCCACATCACGAATATAAATCCGTCAAAGTTATTTTCTTCTTTGATAGAAGTGTTATTATCAAAATTGTTAATTTCATTCCTATTAAATATTGGCGCTACTGCCCAGAGAATAGCAAGGTTGGCAGAAATAATAACAGCGACAATTACAGCCATTTTAATTTGACGCTCAACTGCTTGAACAAATCTTATATATTTCTTATTCATTTTGGCCACGAATTCCATCTTCAAAAAATCTACAAGATTCATGAATTCAGTTTTGCTGTGAAGGAAATATAAGCAGGCAATTGTTGTTAGAAGTAAAGCAGTCAAGTGGCTCATTATGTTTGCAATTAAAGGAATGTCACCCCAGTAGGCATATAGTGCCATGAACTGCCCTAACAACCCTAATATATCCAATGTAAAAGTGACTCTTAGGAATATTTTGTGCAGCAAGATTACGAAAGGCGTTGCATTGTTGGGTGGAAGAAGGCCACACAAACGAAGCAGAAAATTGAAATACATGATCTGTGATTTTTTCACAGAAAATTCTTCTCTTGATTCAGATGTTTGAATCCTTTTCTTCGTTGATCCTCTCATTTCTCCGGAAAATCTGGAACAAAACCTGTTATCAAAAATAATTCATTATTGATATTAATATACACTTGGTCGTCGACTTACGTCCTATGCGACTTACGACCACAAAAAAATAAAAATAAAAGTTGATTAAAATGTAAAAGTTTTTAAAAATAAATTATGAAGATGATAAAAGATTAGAAAGGTTAAAAAATACTGTTAATAAATATATGGCCGACATACGACCTGTCAGTCAGAACGGAAGTCGGTCGTAAGTCGTCGGCCAAGTGTATTTGTTATTTTAGACATTTAGTGAATCGTTGCTTAAGCATAATTAAGTTCAAGGATAAAATACTGGAAAAAGAGAAGCACTTTTCAAAGCCCACAACTGGATCTTATTTCAATGCAGAGGAATCTGTACAAATTCTAACAAAACATTTTTAATATTACTCTCAAATTTACGACTATTTCTCTCAAGTTTTATCCAATCAACAGACATTTCGATCAGAATTTTACATGCAGTCATCCCTACCACGAATTTAGCATATCCAAAACATCCCATCAACATTATGATCACCGAAATAAGGTTTGATTAAAAGTACAAATTAAGTGATCGAGGATCGCTATATATAATTTTCTCCTTCCTTTTGTTACTTCTATCTTATATCCCCATATTTGCTTCAAAACCCGGTAATAGAGTATTATAAGTTTGTGTTTATCTTTTGAGTTGGCTTGTATTCATCATATATTTACACAAGACAGATAATTTCTCTATCTTAATCTTTATGCATTTAGACTGAATGCCTGCAAAATTTCCCAGATTTAATCTCCTGTTAACCGGTGTATCTTAATGAGAAACAAGATCAGTGAACCTTAAAAATATTTACTCTTAGAGCATAACATACGTGGACCGTGTAGGCAGTGTTTTACCTTGGTCTCCGCGGTGTCTCTGTGAACGCGATATACCTGTAGGCGGGCAGTGGATTTACAGGACTTGTCACCAAATTTCCTTTCAAAGGAGTGTCTTACATTCATTAGCAAAACCACATTAAACACTTCTTACGTAATATGTCGGAACCCCTTTGACGTCAAACGACAGAAGTGAGAATAAATTATTTAAGTATCAAGAAACGGCCATAATTACTAAGTTCTAAGACAATTTCTTTTTCTTTAATTTGTCATTTACGTAGAATACACAAGTAACTAATTTTATGGTAAAAAAAAGGTCGATCTCAAATTTTTAAGACATATATGTGTCCAGCACCCTGAACAAGAGGAAGTTGTTTTCTTAATATGCAGTCTGTCTGTCTCTTTGTCTTTACATAGTCATTTGACGGTAGACGGGTTTGCAGTGATGATCAGATTTACTGGGCTCTTTGTTACAGCGCGTGTCCACAGTTACGTATTCACTGCCGTTACTTGGTAGTGGCTTCCAACGGCTGACGTCCCCCTTCTTTCATGTTCTCGAACTGTCCCGAGCCTCAACTACTAGTTCCTCGCAGTAACAGCTCACAATTACCGAACACCAGCAGTCATCTAACTCACTGTCTCAAATCCCTCTTTCTACTACCTCGTCCTGATTGTAACATTTCGGCATGGACCGCAGAGAAAACGCCTTTCTTCTGTTGTTGTTTACGGGCCGCTGCCTAATAAAGGCCGTTTTACAGTTGTTTATTTTGCGGTTGTTGCCTAGCAACAGGTCTATGTGCCATAATATGTTTATGGATATGCCCCTCGTTAAACCTGGAGCGGTCCAATGTATTTTATTAATATTCTATAGCAGAGAGCATGCCCATCACAGGAAGGTGACCTGTGAACGAGGATTCTGGGTCCAAAATGGGGGCCAAAGAACAACATGGCCGTTTTCTCGCAAATGGATGCCACGATTTTGATTGCATTTTCTTTTTATTTATGGAAAATATCATCCTTAATAAGGCTGCATATCAGATGACACCAGAGAAATAATTATCAGCACCTGTGGCCCAAATCCAAAGCATTTGTTTTCTGATGCCGACTAAATCTTACATTCAGTTCCGAAACCTTTGTCTTCTCATCTGGTGACCATGAATTTAAACATCAAAACAACCAATACTATAATTTTTTCCCGTGGTTCTGTATGGGTGTGAAACTTGGTCGCTGACATTAAGGGAGGAACACAGACTGAGGGTGTTTGAGAACAGGGCGTTGAGGAGAATATTTGGACCGAAGAGAGATGAAGTGACAGGAGGCAGAAAACTGCATAATGAGGAGCTTCATAACATGTATTCTTCTCCAAGTATAATTAAAATGATCAAGTCAAAGAGTATAAGATGGGCAGGGAATATAGCACGTATGTGGAGAAGAGGAATACACAGAGAATTTTGGTGACAAAGCCAGAAGAAAAGAGAACACTGAGTAGATCTAGACGTAGCTGACAGGACAATATTAAAATGGAGCTTAGGAATATAGGATAGAGTGTTATGGACAGGATTAATGTGGATCAGGATAGGAATCAGTAGAAGGCTCTTGTGAACACGGTAATGAATCTTACGGTTCCACAAAATGATGGGAAGTTCTTGAGTATCTGAGCGAGTGGCGGTTTTTCAAGAAGAACCCATCCCAGGCGT